CTGATTGAAGCAGTGTTGAACACTGTATTGCTCTAACATCAGAGCACTTTGCTGTAAGGACAATTCATTTTTTTCCCCACATCTTTGTACAAGCAAACAAAATTCACAAGGGGGATTTAAATTCCTATAGCAAGTTTTGGTCTTGTTTTACAAAGGATACTTGACCTTTTCCTGTCACTGTGAGGATAATGCAGGCACTTCCTGGTACTGGTTAAAATATCTGGAATTGAATTGCAGCACTTCTTAAAACGATGTTACTTGTTAAACAACAAAAGTTGTACTTGGCTTCTTTCTAAATTCGGACAGTTAGGAAGAGGATGCTATTCTTTCCCTGTTACACTGTTGGAGAGTGCATAGATGCTTGCCTCTTGGTTGTTATATTGATGAACTGTTAATGGAGAAGTATCTGCCTGTCCCCTGAAACTCAGTGAGGGTCCTCACAGCAATGAAACTCTGTGGCAGAGTTGGATTCTTTAAACTGGAACATTGCTTGAGTATTGTTTTCAGTATCTCCACGTAGTATATTGTAATGGAGACTGGTAAAGCCCTAAGAAATGAAGATTTAAGACTTACTTGAAAAGAAATGTGGCTCTTTGTAACACGTCACCTTTCCATTTTATGTGCCTTCTTCTCAGATACTGTCTTCCATTGAATTGCTGCAACATTCTTTACCCAAGATCAACCGGAGTGCTTCCGAACCATCTCTGCACCGCGCATCCCATACAGAGGACATAAATTCTTGCACGTTAACATCCACAAGACTGCCTGTTTTTTAGGATTGTGCTCCCCTTCCCTTAATCTCTCCAGTGATGGGAAAGGAACAGAAGTAACAGAAGTTGTGCTTTTAATGCCTCAGTGTACAGGATCAGTGACCAGCCGGATCATCCGCATCCCCGTTTAAGAACAAGCTGCTAAGGATGTTTGCAGTTCTTACCCTGCAGGGACAAAGCTCCACATTGCCTTTTTCTACAGTTTCTTCTACTGGGATAGTTAACAGACTACAAATCAAGAGATCTATTACTATTTTTTTAATAGATGCACTTGAGCCTTATTTTTCCCACACACAGAAGAGATGGATGTTTCTTTGGCAGTGTTTCTGGGTTGATTTGAATCTGCTGATAAACTGGTATTTTTTACAGCAGGGATGACCTGCCTTGGCACTTGAGGGAAGAAAGATGATGTGATCTGGTGCTCTCTGATTGCCCCGTGCCGCTTCACGTCAGGGGACTTTTGCTGGAAATGGGTATCTGCAAACAAGACTGAGGGAAGAAGAAAAAAACTTTCTGGAAATCAGCTCCTGCCTAAGAGCTTTCATCAAGCCAATGAAATAAGTTAAAATGCTAATTCAACACAAAATAGTTTTGCAATAGTTTTGCACGTAGAAAAAAAACTCTTGCAAAGGAATGGAGTATATTCTAAACTGTACTGCTCAGAGAAGGAAGCTAGCCAGTCTTGCTATGGTCATCTTCGGTAACTTAAGCGGCTTATTTTGGTACTACGGACTTGTTTCTTGCAGCCCAATGAGGTGGAAAGTGCAGAAAGACAGGCTTTTGTGGCTGATAAAGGCTAATTAACAGTATCAGTATACTTCTGCAGAATGAGCATAGTTTTCATCCCATCTGAAGCTGTCGTCCAAGAGATGCACTATCAAGAGGAAACTGAGCATATACAGTTTTTCTTGCTGATTTGGGTTTTAATTTTGTTTTTATTGCTCCTGAGAAAATGCATTTATTGTAAGCCAAGGTTCCTCTGATTATCTTATTTTAATAAAATAAATTAAATTTTAGGTTTAAGATTCAATATCATCATTTAATGTAGTAATTCATATTTTGACACACACATTTACATCTAAAAAGTTCAGGAAATAACATTCTGAATAATTTTTAGGATAAATATTAACTGTACCAGTAAAAATAGATAAAATACTAGATGTGACAACCTATCAGTTTCCATTCACTTTACTTACAGACTGGTTTTGATGTTACTGTAACAATCTTTCAGCAGCATCTACTAGATACATACACTGATAAACCATCAGGTGAGTTACCTGCACCACTTCTCTGCATTGTATCTTCTGGGAGCCTGTGTTTTTTTCCTTACGTATTTCCCTTAGGTGTTTTGGTCAAATCAGGCAGCAGGTGACCAGAAATAGGTGGTCTGATCTAAGAATTACTTTTTGAAATAGTATTCTGTTCAGGTAGAGGAGAATTTAAAATACATAAGCCAGGAATGTACTGGTTAAGTAGCTTGACTGTCCTTAGACCATCACCCAGGGATTAGGATTTCACCCTTATAACTGAGCATTACCATAAAATGTGCATTTGGCAGTGATGGAAACAGTGCTGTATACAGATCAGCATGCTTTTCAATAGTGTTCTTGTTATTTTAATTGCAGCCCTTTCTCTCTCATTTTACCTTCGTTTTAATTAGTGTTGCAAAAGAAGGAAGCATGAAAAAAAGGAGGTGGTGGAGTCACAGTCCCTGGAGGTGTTCAAGAAAGAGGCAGATGTGGCACTGCGGGACGGGGTTGGGGGCAGTAGTGGTCTGCTCCAACCTTCATGGTGCTATGATTCTATGAAAGGTTGCTCTTAGTTTAGCACTGAACCCCCAGAAGGAACCTCATTGTTCCTTCTTATTTAATACAGGTTCTCTCTCTCTGGAAAACTTTTTTTTTAAATAAAAGGAGAATTATTTTGATTAGTATTTGATGTCAACCTAGAGTTTGAAAGCTGTAAAATGAAGAATGTAGAAGGTCCGAGTCTGTCTTACTGCTTGCACATTAAAACTTCATGTAATTGCTAGGCAGCATTGAAAAACAAGTTACCTTACCTTTTGTACATCAGATTTTTGTTTCCTGCTTGGTTTTCTTTGAGCAAAGTAACAGGAATGCCCTGTCTAAGGAGCGGAACATTCTCTCCACTTACTATTTTTTAATGTATTTCATTGCTGAAAATATTTATCTGAAAAAAGTGTTGGAACAGCTAAAAAAAGCTTCAGTGGGGCGGCTAAGGGGTGTAAGTACATATTTTTTAGTAGAAAGTATGCAAGAAAGAGCGCTCATCTTACAGAACTGCATCTCTCAGCTGTACTTACCCTCCTTCACCTTTTTTAATGAGCGATGAGGAGTTGCACTGCAATATCATTTACTAGATTAAGCCCATCACTTGTGCCTCCAAATGCCAGTTTTAAAAAGAAGTGGTGACAGATATTTACAAGCTAAGGACTAACTTTAGAGTAAGCATTGTTAAAAATTGATTTTAGTGTTGAAATAATCATGAAAACATCACTACATTTCCTAGATCACAACTGAGAGCAAAATTTGCACATTCACTCTTGGGAAGCTGTTACACAGCAGAGGTGGAAGTTGTCTAAAAAAAACAGAGGGACAAGGGGTGTTTTACACAAATGCCTCTAAATGCACTTTGCTGCATCACAATTTTTGCCATCTCAGTGATGAAGCTTTCTCAAATGCCTGAGTCTTGAAACAGGCGAGCAGCCTTACAGTGATAGCAGTGTGTTCATAAGGGTAGCAGAAATATTGGCCCTGTGCTTGACTTTCAAGATTGCATGTTGCACTTGCATGGAAAAAAATCTTTGCTTGCACTGAAATACGCAGTAGCTAGTTCAATTGGCTCTAGACCAAACTTTAACTGCAGAGTTGATACAAATGACTCAGCAGAAATAACTTCTTACAAACTGCACATTCGTACCATGAATTGCTTTTGCTACAAGTATATTTAAAAGAACTTAAAATGATTCTCAAAGCTTCAGCAGCTCAAACATGAATCAAAATTTAAAGAAAGAATCCACTAACAGTTCAGTTGACTCAGAAGATGTGCTTTAATACCTGACCTCCTTGACCTTGACCAGTGCTTCCTTCTGATGAGAACAAGGTCCTGCAGGTAGGCAGCTGGAACTTCACCTGCCCTTTAAATAACATAACTGCCAGCTGGGGCTATGAGGTACCTGAAAGTAGGGCTGTCCTGGGAATACACGGCAGAAGGATGATGTGACTCGGTATGCTAGAAATACATGGCAGTGGAAAAGCCCTAAGTATCTGCTGCCCCTACAGGTCAGGTAAGCAGCGGTCAGTGTTTCTTTTTTGACTGAAATGATTTAACGTGGTACAGATGCAAACTGTAAGATCACTGATAGAGGTTATTTAGACAGAATGTTAGTTACCTCATTTAATTTTTGCTTCATTTAACCCGAATGAAGGTTTCCCTTTGAATTAAATACACGTACAAAAAATTATTATCATTTCAATTAATATTGAAAGTTACTGACTTCTTACGCAGTGTCCAGTACCAACTTGTGCTGCAAGTATCATTTACCTGTGCATTTTGACTCCAGCATTGGAACTACAGCTCTGCCTGGAGGTAACAAATTGCATGTGCTCTACAGCAGGTGCTGTAGGAAACCAGGAGACCTTTCCTGTAACCATGCACTTCATTATTTTACAGTGGAGGGATCCTGATTTGTGCTGTCTCTGACAGCCTGGCAGTGCCCATTACTGAAGCACTCACTGTAAGAATACACTGAGCATTACTCAGAACTCTAGATACTTGGTATTTTTTTTAAGAAAGGAAAAGCTACACGGATCATTATTCCTAGTGTGTTTCTGCAGATATACATTTAGTTCATTTAGGGGGAAATAAGCACCCTCAACAGATACAGCAACAGTTTTTAACAACTTATGCTTTAAAAGGCAAGAGAGCAGCTGCATGTAACAAGACCATTCAATTTACAAGACAGCGTATGTTAGGCCAACGAGGAAGGGAACCCTCTTGGGATCAAGGGATTTTTTTCCATGCAATCAATTTAACTTTTTAAATATAATTTAGTACTTTTGTTGCCATACACCAACTATCTGAAAACTTCACCAGGACTGCACAAGTAGGACCACAGGGCACATTCAGTCATTCCAGCTGCGCTGCAAGAAGTAAAACCACTGCTAAATAAATAGCTAGATTGCTACAGAAGAAAGCACATTCGCTTGCCTTTATTGAGAAGTAGCAGAATCCTCCTCAGCCCCAGAAAGGTGCATGAAAAGTTCTCCAAGTTCTGTTACTTGATCATCTGTGCTGGTCACAGTCCTACTTTCTCTGTCTTCAATAAAGTCCCACAGACGAACAGAATTGAAGAACTGCAACAGAAGAAAATCTGATTTAGCTTGGCACAGGCCAATTAGAAGTTTTTTCCCCTTATCAGTCATCTTCCTTCATTTAATAAAAAAGTTGAGACTGAGAAATTGGTATTTATTAATAGTATCAGCAGTATTTGCTGAGAAAGTAAGTGACAACCACTCCATTGTTAGAACATAAGTAATAGTTCATGTCTAACTGGGCAGCAGTAAGGAGCTGTATCAGTACTGCTAAACTAGAAGGCCTGTCTCGACCATTCCAGATGCTGGCTGAAGCTACAATGAGACTTTGAGAAGGCTTTAACCATTTTAGCTGTGAATAGGACCAGCTAGGTCTAGGCAAGCAATACTCATTTTTAATACCACTGTAAGTAGAAGCTTTAACTGTAGAATCTCCTTGAAAAAAAGACCTGCAATGAGAAGCACTGGTAAAAAAAAAAGATGAAATCTTGCTATTAAATGAAAGGTGCCTTCTCTTCCAAACAAACCTCTGCCTCAAGGAAAGCTGAGGGATACTTAACTTTTCTGAGGCCATCCATTGTATGAAAGTACTTTAAGTAGTGCACTTTATATTCAAGAAGCGTTTTCAATTACTGACTGGAATATTTCCTTACCCGCACGGTTCCCTCAGAGCTGAGCTGTTTCCTTGGTTTCTCAGGTTCAGCTCGTGTCCCATCTGGATAGGCATGAAGGTAAAGACACTTCCCTCCAAATGGACAAGTTCCTTTCCCTTGTTCAAAGTATTTGCAGGGTTTTTTCCTAATTCAATGAGAAAAAAGTTGCTGCCTTCAGCTAGTGAGGAAGCAGATCACTTTGTACTATTACCACTGCAGCTGCTAGTACCATTAACATACCAAGAGTTCTGATCTCCTACTCCTTAACTGGTAACAGTTAAAATAGATTGGAAAGAAATCTAGGAGTGGACAAAGAAATACATAAAAGAGCACCATCGTAAGTTCAAAAGAATACAATCTTAAGACACTGAAATTGAATGATGTTGAAAGAATGCCACCTATCCAGCACAGTGCGTTTCTATCACAGGGAACAAACCCACTGCTATTTTTGTAGCATTCCTCCCCAGTGCACTGATCACTTTGTTTTTATGAATGAGCCGAGTTCCTCTCATCGTTATCTTTGCAAGTCCTGTGGTAACAATTCTATCATTAAGTTTTCAGCAGCTTTGCTGTTCTAGGAAGTTGCTGGAGCTGTGTAACCACCTTCTAGAAAGGTTATTGGGGAGGGGTGGTGCGACAGGTTGTTCTCCAATGAGAAGTATCTGGAGGAAACTACAGACAAATGGCAATTGAACTTGTGAACAATGTGCAAACAGCAATGAAATTGATCCCTATAACCTAAACAAAGCTTATAAAATAACTAATACATGGAGAAGAAACCACTACAAAAGAAAGAAAGAAAGACTACCCAGAGCAGGCAGTGCATTCAAAAGTGGAACTGATCTGCCTTGGAAACCTGAAGTCACAGAGCACTTGTGTTCTAAGTCAGTCAGGATTTTTCCTCCTGCAGAATGGATTTGTACCATGAGAACCCCTGCTCTTAGACTTCCCTTAAACAAAAATATTATTGGCATTTTTTCTATGAATAACATATCCAAACTAACTGCTATGAGATCATAAAACCCTCCATACAGAAATTATAACACGTGTTAGTCTTAGCTGAGCACATAAAGCAAAAACCCTTTTTGTATTCTCAAAATACAAAGCCAAAACCCAACTTGTAGTAACACTACCTAACACCACTTTTCCAACAAAACAAGTCTACTTACGTAGAATGTAGTCATTTACAAATCATTCAGCCAAGAATTTTAGCACAATTTATTATCCTCAATACAAACTCCTTTAGAATTAAAATATAAAACTACAATGGCAACATGGTATTGAAAACAAACAGTATCTGAAGCTCCTCAGCTGCCCAAAGAGGTTGTGGAGTCTCCCACTGAAGATATTTCAAAACCCATCTGGATGTCTACCTGTGCAACCTGCAGTAGGGAGCCTGCTTAAGCAGGGGGTTGGACTGATGATCTCCAAAGATCCCTTCCATCCCCCACAACTGTGTGATTCTGTGATTTTATTCAACTACTTTGTCTGACAATGAATATAAAGCAATAATACACATACAAAGCTGGTTTGAACATTTAATGGAGTACTACTGCTTTCAGCAATTCTGCTGCTAAGTTGTAAGACAAATCCCCCCAAGAAGCTGAAGAGCTGGTAGGACAGCTATGCACAGATTCAAGTAATACCTTCACAGACTCCATAAGGCAAGTTTTAAAAGTTGGTGCATGTCACAGTTAATCTGTGCACCACTTCACAAAACAGTCGTGACTCATTTGTGTCAGGCATAAACCTGCTTGTTTCCCTTTAAAGAGTGAGGTAACAGTTCCTCATTGTGCTGTGACAAAGTGACCCTCAGGTTCTCCAGACAAGCACAGCTTTGCAAAGCTGCTGTAACACAATGCTTTTGCAGACCTCCCCAGTGCTCCAATCACCAGGCAAATCTTTATCAGACAATAAAGGGATTGCAGTGATGCAGTATTTTACATTTCCAGTAGCTGTTACAAAAAACCTGTGAATTTGTATCCCATATTTCAAGATGCTATCGTAAAAATTAAGTTTTCCTTCCTCATTTGTTTTCCCCAGTGTGTGACAACCTTCCAGGCAGTTACGTCCAACAGAAGGCACGTGTCTCTAGCTTTGGCAGGTGAACTGAAATAGCCTCAACATTTCCGAGCATGAGTTCAAGTACCTTCTGAACTATAATTACAACAGACTGATAGCAGTCACAAAGTTCAGCTAATAAAGAATGGTGTGCTGTTACGAGTGATTAAGAGTTATGTGTAGAACGGATTGCAAAAGGTTTAAAAATAGGGGCATTTTGATTGATTAAGCCTTGGTGAATCTCAAGGACAACGTAAGTAGCATTTTGGCTGATGAACTTACCCCACTCCCTGCTTAAATGCTTCAATCAGCTCATTTTTTTTCTCCTGGTCTTCTACCCAATAAGCGCTGGGAATGACGAACTCCGATATCACACGGCACTCTGGGCAAGACCTGAATGGATCAAGACAAAGGAGCAGAGCTTTATTACTTTCTGAAACCAATTCTCAGTGTATCAGCCAGAAACTGCAGGTTCCTGAGCAAAAGGGAGACGGTCTGCCAGGCTGATGCACCGGACAACTTCACAGCACTTATGGGCACGACTGTTACCAGCTTCAGCTGAAATAATCCAGCTGACTCATAGAATGACTTGGGTTGGAAGGGACCTCAGAGATCATTTAGTTCCAACCCACTGCTACAGGCAGGGTTGCCAAATGCAGTAAGCCTTGTGCTGCTTTGCATTTATTTCAAGACTTGAACAAAATAAATAGACGTTTCCTGAAGAAATGTGGCTAAAGATCCAGTGCACAGAAATAAAGTACCTGCCAAGCAAGTACTTCAGCTCACAAACAAAAGAAAGCCAAACCAGATGCATGATAACAAGGATTTTCCCTAAGCCTCACCTGCACTCTGCCAGAACTGAGGAGTTGTTAACTTAGTGGTTTTATAAGATAGATTTCTTTATTAGGATTTAAGATCAAGAATCAAATATGCACCTTCTGGTGCCTCGAGAAGCATTACTACTCCTGCCATGCAAGTCTCATGGAACACCTGGTGTCTCTGCAGGCAGTGCTTTTCAAACTGATCCAAGCCCCTCTTTCAGAGAACCTTTGCAAAGACCAGTACACTCACTATTATGCGTAAATACAGAAAATACATTTGAGGAATTTGCTTTAGTATCTACTCCACCACAAACGTGGTTCCAGAGCACTATTTCGTATGAAAGCCACAGTCCCTGCTGTAGGCACAGTATCTCAGTGCCTGTCTGTCAGAAGCTTTGCTCCAACAAAGCTTACACTGCACTGAGATAACTTTCACTTCAAGGCAACTATTAAGGGAAGTTTTGCAAAAGAGTTTACTTTGGCAGAGGAATGAAAATATTTCCTACCTCTTCCTCAATGTGCTTGTAACTTGGAAGAGCTTTCAAAGAGATTCTAAAAAAGGAAACTGCCCTAATTGGTTGTTTAAAGTTCTTTCTAAGGAGGAGTATGTTTGGAATACACTTTATACACATCTAGAAGACAAAGGAATTTACTCAGATACAGATGTGCAATTAATGGGAGATCTAGCTTTAGTAAGCTATAGTTTACAAAAAAAATGCAGTAATTAAGCACACACATATAAAGGAAAGAGTTACTGTTAGTGCAAATGAGCTCCCATGAGTGAAGCAGGGACATGAGTTAACTCAGTATTCTGCAGTCCACATTTGCACTTTGCCCCATTGTCAATGCAATGACAGAGGCTTAAGTTACAAAGGGCCAACATGCTGGACTCAGCACGTAGGCACTGTTAACAAAGGATAGCTGATGCATCCTACCTGGCCTTGAAGGTAATACTGTGCACATTTGTAGCACTTGGACCAAGATTTTCTGAGCTGGTATTTTACTAATGGCTGTGCTAATACTTACAGCTACCAGATCTCTTATGACCACACGTATTTCTCTATCAAGTCAAAGTACAGCAGAATGCCCACCCCACTAACACAGGTCACAGAGACAACGGGCTGCTTAACGTGAACTTACTTTATGATTGGATTCTCAAACTGCTTGGCACACCTCCACTGCCGGATGCAGGACAAACAGTACGTGTGATTGCAGTTGGAGAGGATCCCAAACCTCCTCTCTGAGGCTGATGGCTTTTCATACACTACTTCCATGCAGATGCTGCACACTTTGTCCTGACTTGCCTGAAAGGCAAAAGCCTTCTCCATCTCATGCTCAAACGCTGCCATGCACATCTGTCACAGGAGAGATATCATTGGTTACTGTACTTTATATATTGGACCATTCTTCATAAAACCAAAGTGTCTGACATGGATCTGTTACAGGAAAAACACAGTAGGCTAATTAAGAGCATCCCTACTATCCTTCATCATAATTATCATCATATAATTGTAAGATCTTTAAGGATGATCACATAATTCCACCCTCTCATGCTCCCTGCATCTTTGTAGGTATCAAAGGAACGGCTGCCTAAACACTTAATTTACACCTGCCTGCATCTGTACCAGAACAGCAGTTAGCAAGGCAGTGCTTCAAATATCCCCAAGTCCCATCTAATTCATAGTCCGGTATGGATGCTGCACTCACGATGTTACTCTGTTTATTGTTAAGGGCTCAGTCACCAAGCACTAAGCTTTATCCTAGATAAGGAATTGGTGTCTTACTACGGGCTTCCTACAGCATTTCTCACACCGTACTCAGTGATGTAACATTTGCTTTTACAGCACTACAAGCTAAGCCTTTGGTTATCCCCCATAGCTTTACCTCTTCTTTCTGAGATTCTCGGGACTTGACAAGTTATACATATTTAGCAGACTTTAAATAATAATAATTTTTAAAAGACCAGAGAGTAATTCCACATTAACAGCAGCACTTTCACTACTGCACCTTTCCTTCCAACAAACATCTCTGCCCCCAGAGCTGAGCACCTGGCAGCAGTGGTAACAGCATGCTGTGCCAGACGTCAGACTCCTGGGACAAGAGAACCACATGGCATGTTTGGAGCTACGTGCCGAGATCACATGAGATTCTGGTAATCTGGATTCCACTCCTGGCACTGGAGAGACTTCTGATCCAGTAACCACTAAAGCTTCTGGTCATTCTCCTCCTCAGTCTCGAAAACTGCTGTTCCTGACCAGCCCTGACACAAACCCAGTGGCCAAGCATACTGAAGAGCAGCCTCTTACAGCCACCTTTACCCAAGCAATTCCTCATCCACTTTCCCTAGCCTTCCTAGTTAGAGATCACCTCCAAAATCTTCACGCTCTGCTCAGGGTGTCCCCATCTTACACTGCCCTGGAAGTGGCCACACACAAGCAGGGATACCTGAAGCAGTGACCCAGCAGACAGGCAGGGCAATTGCTCTGAACTCACCACAGGCTATGGTCCCTCTCCCCCATCACACACAAGCGACCACTACAACCTCCTGACAGCTACAAAAGACATCTTCCTAAAAGAGTTCTAGGATACCTGGGGACAAGGCAAGTTTCCCTTAAGAAAGGGGAAAGAAAAAAATAAATAAATAAATAAAAAGGAAATCACTGTAACATGCTGTCAGCATCAATGTTACCACTGAGGTCCTGGATGTTTGTCATCCTACAGACAGATAAACCACAGGCTATTCCACAAAACACACCTTTGGATTTTTAAAAACAAACAAACCAAATGTAGCACTAAGCACACACATCTCACAGATTCTGTGTTAACATTACCATCTCATGAGCCTTCCTCTGTTCTTGGTCAAAAGGGTGAAGCACTTGCAGCCCACATATTTCACACACGTCCCCATGCAGGTAAAGGCAGCGGTCCCCAAAGTGGCACGCTCCTGCTGCAGCATAAGGACACAGCTGCTCTCCATCACCAAAGGAACTTCCAGCTACTGGATCTTCCAGCCCACTGCAAATAGCTTCCAAATATGAATGGGGCTTCATTTCCACATTATCGTTTTTGTCACTGCAACACACCACATCATTCGTTGCACTGGCTTTTTCCTTCTCTTCATTCAAGCCACACAGGTCTTAAGAAAGAAAAATGTAATATTAACAATTCAGCATACAGCACAAAGCCTACATAAGAAGCTCCCTATATTTTCTTTCCAATGACTGCAGTTTTTTGCTTTAAAAACATCTTCTAAATAAAATCTCAGCCTTAAGCCTCTTTCAATCCTACATTACAATTCTCACAAACCATTTGTTGAAAAGATCAGTTTCAAGGTCTCTTCTTCAGCTGCTCTGTTTTACAAACATGGTAAAAATACTTCACACAGCACACGGGTATAACTGGCCCACTCACCGTGACAGAGAGAATCTGTCGGAACAGCACCAGCCACAGGGCTCAGCTGCTCTGCCCTGCGGCCTCAGGCAGAGGGATGGACGTCTCTGCGCTTGTGTTTCTGAGCGCTGCTGCCATCCTCCACTCAGCAACTATTTCAAATGCCCTCTCATTGAGAACAAAATGCACGAAAAGATCTGATGGGTAGGGATACCAAACAAGAAACCCATCCCTAACCAAAAACATCTTTCAGGACATACCAGGTTAAAAGCCAGTCAGTTAAACACTGTCATTAAAAGGTACCAATAGGCACAAGTGTTTAGAGGAAAGGGGCCTCAAAAGATAAGGAAGATCTCCAGCACCCCTTTCCCACTGTCCTTGAAACTGAAGTTAAAAAAAAAAATGTGAAAAACGACCCAACTCCTATCAGAACCAGAGGACAACATCAAGGATAAGCACAGCAGCCTCCTACTCACTTCTGTCCCTGAGAACAAGTGTTTTCTTCTCCCGTTTGCCACTCTCACGCAGCTTGCTCTTGGTTGCAGATACACTGTGCTCTGGTGCAGGGCGAGGGCTGAGCAGCGCTGCTGATGCCATGGGAGGAGGCACAGGAGCTGCTGCACCCCCCGAGGCGGGGAGCCTGATGTGGTCGTACCTGTGACAAATAGAGTCTCTTTCAGTCTCTTTCAAAGCCAGACTGAAAGTCTTCTCAGCCTCAGCAAATGGATGCCTCTGAAAGCACATCAAGATTTTTTTGCTAATTCTCTAGGGAGGCCCACCACAGCTGAAAGACCATCATTCACGTGCACGTTAGATCAGGTCTTCGTCATCCTCACACAAAGAGCTTTGTTGACATTTTTCTGAGAAGCCAAATTAAAAAGACATGCAATAAGGACTGATGTGATCTCATTCTCCCTGTCCAAGCAGGACACGGGACTTCCTGCTCCATACTATCGTGATGTCATGTTTGCACACAGGACAGAAAAGGTTATGAGTGACTATGGAAACATGCTCTCAGCAGCAGAACAGAAGCAGGCAGTACAGTACAGAGGTTTCTCTAGTAAAGCCATAGACATCACCAGCTCATATGCATCCAGGGCCCTCCGCTGTTCCAACACTGCTGGAGCAGCAGATTAACACTCTGCAGCTGCCTTCAGCAGCTCCATACAATGCTAATTCCATCTTAGCAGCTTATGAGCTGCCGAGCTCACTGAAATGCAGCTGGATGCAGGTCTGACACCACTGGCAAAACCCAGGGAAGGAACACAATGCAGCAACTGCAGCCACACAATACCCTGACACCTCTGGCTGCTGGTGAGTGCAGACACAGGATTCCGTATCCCAGCAGCATGGCTCTGGGAAGAAGCCCCAGATCTGCAGGACACTGCTGACGGAACAGAACATTCCCTAGCACATAGCAGTTACCAGAGCACCAGAGTTTTAACCCAAATGCTGCAGCAAAAGACACAGAAACACTGCCCACAAAGCTGAGGGGAGCACAAAGAAAACACTCTTCACTTTAAGGCAGAACCACAAGTCCTCCGATCTCAGCACTGGGATGTGCAGGAACACAGCTGTGAGGTGCACCCTGCGAAGCAGCACTGCCCAGCACTGCAGGGTCACTGCCGTGCCTTGTGCCCACAGCCCGCCTCGCGGCCTTGGCGCTGCCTCCTGAGAAGCCACACAGCCGGCATCCGGTGTTTAGTGCCCAGCTCTCCTCACATGAGGAGAACCGGGTGAGAGCATGAGACCCTGACTCCTCGTTTCCACAGGACAAGACAAGGCCCAGTCAAACCGTAACACTACACCACGTACGCTGGCTTCAGGAGGGGGAGAAAAGCTCGCTACCAATGTATTATTCCGTCCTTTTCGACGCTCAAACGCCTCATCCCTCCTCGAGTTTCGAGACCCCCCGGCTCCTCACAACGCACGGCACCGGCTCTCACCTGCAGCGGGCTCCATAGGCGCACTGCCCCTTCTGGTAATACTTGCAGACGGTGGAGGACTTGCTGCTGGACAGGTCGTGCGAGAACAGACACTTGCTTCCCTCGCGGCACACTCCCTGCACGTAGTACCTGTGGAGAAGCACCCGGCCCGGAAATGGATTCTCTCTGGAGGCGCGTTCCCGCGCGCGGCGCGCCGCTCCGGCCCGAGCCCCTCCGAGGCGCGGCGGTTCCGCGGGAGGAGCTCCCGGGTCACCTCGCCGGTCAGGGACCACCGCCACCCCGTCCCCGGCGCGAGCGGTGGGCGCTCACCTGCACGTAACCTGCTTGACGCTCATCCTCGCCCCGCTCCGGCCTCCCCGCCCGGCCGGCTCCGTGCGCCGCACGCCCAGGTTCCGCTCCGCCGCGGGGAAGGGGCGGGGCCGACACGGACACAATTACCCGACGCGCCGCACAACCGAGACGCGTCTCGGCGGGCTAGAGCGCCGCTCCGCCATGGAGACGGCCGCCATCCTGCGCGTGCGGCACTGCGGCGCCGCCATCTTCTGCCGCCGCGCGCCCCCGCTCTGCCCCGCCTGCGGCCGCCCCCTGCGCGGCGCCGGGCTGCGCGCGGCCCCCGTGCGCCTCCCCTGCCCCTTCGGCGACGGGCACCGGCGGCCCCGCGCCTTTCTGCTGCGGCCTTCCGTCGGCAGCTTCCTGGGGTACGGAGCGCGGTATACGGGCACTACGCGGTGGCGGGCGGGGGGCCGGCCAGGGGAGTAAGTAGTGCCGGGTCTGGAATGGAAGCGTGCCCTCGGTGGGAGCCGAGCGCTCCGCCCGCTCCATCCCCGCCCGCGGGACAGCGAGGAGAAGCAGCCGCCGTTCCAGAGACACCGGCGGTTTTGACGGGACGAGCGCGGCTCACACCTCACAGGCTCCGTTTTTGTTTCAGAGAATACGACGGGAACTCTGATCTCCACGTCGGAATATCCAGCGCTCAGGGTAAAACGCATTTCGTAGCAGGCTGCCGGCACTCCGCCCAGCTCCTGCACCTCAGACACCGGCGCTGCACGGCAGCCCTGCCGGAGCACGGTGCAAACACGAGCTGAGCAGCACGCCTTTACTGCCTGTACAGCACCACACGGGTCAAATCCCCACGTCCAGTTAGTTATCTTGCCTTGCAGAAACCAGCACGTTGAGTGAGTCAAAGCCATACGCCACTCTTCTCCCAGTTCCACCTCACTGCATGGAATGGAAGTAACAGGTGACCTGTATTCGTGACAAAGAAATAAAAGCAAGGCAGCAGAAAATTCAGGAGAGCACGCTATTGCTAATTCTGAAGTCATCCCTAATTAAAACAAACAAATGTGTTGTTGACAGTCATTACAGGTTCTCAGAGCACAGCAGCCCAGACAGACAGCTCAACAGGAACAGAAAAACAGTCTGGTTTGGAGGCTTCAAGAAGAAGCCTAGCAGTCCTGAAGTTGTTTTCCTTATCAAAAGATCTTATATCACCTTGTAAAAATGAGAACTTTTTTTACTTTGACAAGTAAACACTGCACTTTCTACTCTAGTTCTAGAAGGTCTCCAAAGGGAAGCTAGGGTTTAAAAGAGTGGCATTAATAGTAGCTCACTTAAAAACGCACATGAATCCATTTTCTCCAGTACTACCTGTCAACCTGTTGCTCTTTATTTTCAGGAGTGGTGTATAATTACAATGAAGAGGGCATTCACAGAGATGCAACCGGATGGGAGCAGTGCATTAGTGTCCCACTAGTACAGCCAGATATGTTTGAGCTTCTTCAGCAGTGGGATCACCTCCTAGAGGAATTTTCTATGGGAGAGGAGTGGCTTCCTCATAGGTATGTAGCTGAAAATGTGAATGCGATAGGAGTTAAGTTAGGATGATAAATTAGGCTATTCTGTTTTGGATCCTTCAGCTCCTTCAAACACATCATTAATTACAAAGCAGTCTAAACTCTTCCAGATTGTCTTGAAACTCAGTGACCTTGCTAAACAAAAAAACCAATGTTTTTAAGTACCTAAACCTTGAAAGATCTGTAAGAGAATATATGAGAAATTTTCTTCAGCACCAAAACAACTGCATGAAAAAGAACACTTCACTGGAACACTACATTTAACAGTATGTGAGAATAAGCAAGGCTAGAGAGGTTTCAGCAATTACAGTAATATAAGGAGATGAAAGAATTTGACCCAGATTGAAAGTGTATATGAAACACAAACCTATTGGTTTTACAAGCATCTTTGACATTTCTCCAACTCCCAGTGCATTAAAGTTATTAGTAAAATTAAATTGATGTCAAGCAATGGTAGAAAGTGAGTAGATGTATCCATCTTTTCTACAAGGTTTTCTTCTGTTTTCCCTGTCAGCCACCTGATAAAGCCACCTAGTTTCCCAAAAATAAGACCAGTGACCACTTCAACTGCTGAGAACTGGACTTTAAGATGTTAAATCTTAATGCTTATTTTTCCAGTGGACCGGAACTGTGCTAAACTAATCCTGTAACTAATTTTAATTTTCTTGTTTACTTTCCATTTAATTTGTATGAAGTATAAGAGTATAAGAGACCAACAAAGAACAGTGGCCGCAGACATGACTAACATCTTAAGTTACTAAGATACTAATTTTCTTTGACAAGACAAATACATGCTTTCCAAAAAAATCAGGTGCTAACTAGAAGACACAGATAGGTAATGAGAAGTGTATTACAGAATCTTTTGCATTATAAATACAAATAGGTTCTGCAAACAAAATCATGGAACTGATTTAGTAAAGCACTGTTTGCTCACGTTTTGTACAAGTTTCCAGAACATGCTGCAGTGCTCTGCAGTCTCAGCACTGAGCCGAAGTGTTACCAGCATTTTTGCAATGCAATTACCAGTTGCATGATGATGATGGCCACTCTTGGAAGTTCCTCCTATTTTTTTTTTGTTAAAGTAAGTACACTGTAGCAAATTCTTGCTCACTTCATGGGAGCTCATAGGTCACCTCAGATAGCCTTAACAAACCAGGGGAGCTTTGAAGAAAACAGGGAGAAATCCTGAACTGGGTTGAGGGTTGCAGGGTTGCTTTTGATAGCTATAGTCTTCATAACTTGCAAAAAAGCCTGGTAAATTCCCAGAGCTGATGTGCAAGTCTTGCAGAAGATTCCCTGTGACAACACAGACCAGGGAGCCACTGAGAGAATGAGACAAGGAATGCCTCGCAGGGCTAGAAAGAACAAGGGAGAAGTGATACAGGATGAGGTGATTACAGAAGAAGCTTGAGGATTAGGTAGATGGCAGGCAGTTATTCAAGGCCAATTAGAAAAAGCAGCACTGCATGGTGAAGGAAAGGAGTAAATTACTCAAATTGTCAGTGGCCAACATTAAGCATTTGGCAGAATCTGGAAAATGTTCTGACACTGAAAAACACAAGTGTTACATGCTTCTAGCTTAGCGTCCTGGGAAAAAAGTGAAGAACATTTTAAATGGCTACTCCTATTTAGTTAGGATTTATCCCTGCATTCTTGGCACTAATGACTGCCAGTGGGAGTTTGACTGGTATACTGTATCAACGTATCAGTGACAAAACAGAGTTGAATTTAATTAAGATTGCAAGTTAATGCCACTCTGAGTGAATTGTCAGTGGTGCCACATAAGGTTACCACTGCAGGAAGATGTTTTCAAGATAACACAGTAACAACACAGAAGAGCAAAAGGTTAACAAGGTAAAAACCAAGTAAGTATTTTAAAAAAATACACTGAAGTAATTAGTGCTCTTACTAATGAGATCTTTTTCCTAGGTATGAAGAACATGACCACAACTGCTACACGTATGCACTGGCATTCATTAACAGTGTACTGACTGCACAAGGAAAGCAGCAAATGAGTAAAAGTGAATTTACAGAGAAGTTTGTGATTCCACAGACAAAGAATGCTTCTAAGTATATTACCCTTCATCAGGAACTAACCACTAAGGACTTCTACATTGTACCCCTTCCTGATCAAGAAGAACAGTGCTGAAAATAAGTTGTCCAACTAGACATTGTGTTCTGTTGAGACATTTAATATTAGAAATCGTAACGGCTTATAATTAGGGGTTTTAACAAATCAACTGTTGAAATAAGCTCTTTTGAATCAAACATTTTTCCCATCACACGTATGGTTAAAAAAAAAAAAAAAAAAAAAAAAAAAGGAGTTTGTGCTTGCATGCTGCTCAAATCTAAAGTCTGTGACAAAGCAAAATCATTTTCCTTTACTTCAGCTACTAGTAAAGCATACAGCATTTATAACATAAATCCAGTCTCACTGTCAGGTACATTTCTTTTCCAGTCCTTTATGTTTTACATGTTATCCCTCAAACCAAGACAGACCCGTAACATTAAAGGATAGTCGTACAGCATCCTATCTGTAATGAACAGCAGACTCGTCTGGATCCATCACAGAGAGAAAAATATAAAAGCAATTTATGTTTAAAAGAAATAGAAAGATGCTCCAACAGTACTTCTACCTACTGTACATTACAGAGAAGTGTATGCTGAGGACAAAGTTTTACTGTTCATAATTCTACACACTTATTTACATATATTCTAGCTTAAGAAAACATGTTTATCTTCCCCTCTACTAGCTTCTGCAAAGTAAATGTAGACCTGAACTAGATTTAAGTCCTGTTTCCTCAACTATAGAGAAACAATGAAACCACTGTGGTTTTCCATATCTAGTTTATAATTTTGTAAACACAAACTGCAAATGCTACACCCCCATCTTATTTCACTTCTTGCTAAATTCCTAGTTCCTTTAAAAGCATATTCAGAAACACAAGACAGAGACAACCAGTTTGAAATGCTCAATTCTGCTGCTGCTAAGAGCCCCCCATCCAGAAACCTTCAAGCAATTCAGAGTTCTTTAGCTAAGATTTAGCTTACAAAAATAAATTACAGCATGCTATTTCTGAGTATATCAGAATTCATACCTCATTTTAAGTTTTGAATTTCAACTATTGAAATATAAATACATGGCAAAGTATCAGTGTCCTGGTAGAACTATCTGCTATAAAGTATTTGTTGTAATAGTACTAAAGCATGAAACATAGTCATCTCTAGTTACAAGTACAGCACTGTGCCACATACAGTTGACACACATGCAGATGTTCAGCTTGAAAAAGCAATCACTCTCTTGACATTTCCATTTTACATCTTTCTCTGTAAATGACAGGATATGCTTGGATTTTAGTCAGCATTTATACATACCAACTGAAAATGCTGATAGAAACTGATGATGAGCCATTGTCTGAGGGATCAGGTGAAAAAAACAAAATGTTTATAAAAAGGATTAGATTCTTCCTCTAATTCGGCTAAAGATCATCTTGCTCACTGCGCTCACGGGAGGACACCCAACGAGTTACAATCAGTTCCTGAAGTAAAAAACAGCAACTATTATGGAAGTGAAAAAGATGAAAACAATCTCCATGAGATGGTCTTAAGCATTTAGCAGACCGACTTACATGACGCAATCCCAGCAAACGGATGACTACAGACATTCCTGAAGTAAGCTGGCTTCTTGGGTGTTTGACCACCTTGCCCACAACAGAGGGGTGGTACTCAATGATCAAGGTCCCTACTGACCTCAGTCATGATTCTATGTTGTTCTTCCTTTGTTTTTAAACACCCATAAACCATACACTCTCCATAATTATCTGCTTTTTTCCCCCCCATGAAAATGTTTCGCAGTAGCAGCAACATTCAAATTTGGATAAGAAAATCTAAAGTGTTTAAAGAGGATGTAAAGCACTTCTCGTATCTTAGGGCACAAATAAATCTGGCTATTTTATTGCAGCCATGCATGTAAAAACAAAAGCTGGCTGAAAAGCAAGCAACAATTCAAGAGGGTTCTTTTACGGTAACAACCTACCTAGGTTGTTACGTGTCCAGCTGCCCCAAGGCAAAATCAACACAGACAAAGGAAAGAAACTATTACTCACCTGGACCTTAATTCTTTTCAAACACTCTGGCGTGGCCATCTCTTCTTCAGTCATATCAGATGGTTTAATCAAATAGCATAACATAAGTTCCTGTTGGTAAGCAGAAAATAATATACTAATTTCAACTCATTTCTTTCTATACAGGTTATAGATTAATTAGAAATGTAGATGCTAAGTTTCCTAGAACATGTCTTCTGCAAATCAAATTGGAGAAGAGCCGTATAACCTGTATGTCTCATTTCTCTTATCAAAGCAGAATCCTGTGTTGGATTAAGCTGTAACCATAACACAACAACTGAGCAGCACGATTATGAAAATAACATTATGTATGACACTATCACAGAAAAAGTTTTCAGAAACTTTCAATTCTACAGTTGAAAACAAAATCCTGATACACAGAGAGGGATTTAAAGACAGAACTGGTAACTGGGAAAGCAGCATCCTTTGTGTCTTTCTACAGTTCTTCACACAAGTTCCTGCAGAGGAGAGAAATTTAATAAACTTCTTCCAGATGTCCTGTGGATATTAACTAATGAAACTTGTTTGCCCGCCAGAAACTCCATGTGTTCTTCTGCACACTTGAAGCAGAATTCCCTTTCCAGCCTCATGCCCGACTCCAAATATTTCAGAACTAAACTGTGTATTTATCATTTCAAAGCTATTTTAAAATGAGTAGCTTACACCATTACCTTAGAAGCATTAACAGTTGTTCTGTTCAAACCAGACAAGGACATCCAGCTCAGCGGTCTGCGAAGAGAACCTTCAAAATTGTCATCAACTAATTCAGCAATGACAGAGTAACTGGAAAACAAAGGAGATGGGACAATTCACAGGAAGAAAATTGTTTTAGGAAGATTGTATAGCTTAAGAATTTGAGAAAAAAAAAAAAAAAAAAAAAAAAAGTTAAACAATAGGCCAGCATGCAGTAAGCAAGCTAAGAAACTTAAATCTCTTCCCATTAGGCAAGAGGAGAAAAAATCAAACTGCTAGCAGGCTGACTGGCATCTTCCCTCCCTACCCTTCTGCTGGCGTTTGGAGTTGTTCTTTTGTGGATGCCAAGCTGACATTTAAAAACAATTTACTATTTAGGTGTAAACACGACTAGCTAAGGAATAAAGATCATTATCATGATTAATCATTAACCCGCAGTGGGGGGTTTGAAACTAGATGATATCTGAGGTCTTTTTCAACCCAGGCCATCCTATGATTCTATGATCATCCCTTAAGAATCATGTGTTTTTCCTTCCAAATTACATAAGTTATCCATACTACATACTTTCAAAACTCAGCATTACTAAATGATGTCTCCAACTGCATTCATCGTGACTGCTAAATATGCTCATTTCCAATTTTAATTTGTAATATTTTATTACTGTCACAAGAACACAATAAAACCATGTTACTTAGTACCTCTGTTAAAGGAGGCACTTTTATATTCCCATATGAACACATCTGACAAAGTATTTTGGGTTAGGAGTATGTGCTTAACCAGTGAAGACGCTAAATTAGCATGAGAGAAATTTTCTAATTTGAAATTAAGAAGATAGCCAAAAAAATAAGCTTCAAACCTTGCATGATAGAAGGGAGGGCCCTTCCGATACAGCACTGAAAAGGAAGAGAAACACCTGAGTCAGATAATCACAGTTACTGCCTGAGTTTAACATCTGGGCCCATAAATACTTACATACGCTTCATACATTTTAGTTACACTAGACAAAATTTCAACACTTCTGAATTTTGCTCAGAATTAAATTGTCCCAGTAAGTGAAGAAGGGGAAAAGAAAGACAATTAATATGGGAGCAGCAGGACCAAGGAAATGGCAGGTAAAGACGTAGAAGAGCCAAAAGAATTTAGTAATTGCCATGGGGAAAAAGAGCTTGGAATTTTTCTCTAACAGATTCATGCTTTTAATACCATATGTGCAACACAAGTAGAGCTGCTGGAATACAAGGGGAAGGTCACAGTAAGACTGAATTCCTGTTTGAAGCAATCACCTTCCACAAGTTTTAGGGAGGCCAAAGCACAAGTTTTTAAATACTGCCACAGTCCCATCTGTAGACATGCTGAAAGTTCTCTCTCTGTGCTCATATTTCCTACCTCACCTCTGTCATGAGTTTGCAAGAGATTACTTTAACTAGAACATACACCTGGCTGTCGGACAAAAAAAGAGTAGTACCTCATTCCAGCAGCAATCATTTTTTGCACAGTATCCATTAAAGGCAACAACATTAGTAGCATCAATTTGATAAAGCTACAGCACAAGAACAAGAATCTAGAGGGCAGGGCTGAATCTTTACTAGCCTTAAACTAATCCACATCACTGGCACAAGATGAGGAGTGATATGCTGAACAACAAACTCAGGCCAGATGAGTGATGAACAATCTAATATCTAATGAATAAATCAGGTGACCAATATCAGAACCTTACTGATTTGTATACAGTTCATAGAAAATACCTTTCTTCACACACATCTTCCTGTAACAACAGGCATAACTGGACTGTTTATGCCAATGTGAGCTGAATGTAGTCCTTGAATTACTTAGCAGGGGATTACGGACACTTCTAATTACTTCTGTATGACAAAAAAATTCTACCATTAGCAAACAAGCAATCGCAAGAGACTCTGTTTTGAAGAAAGCTACTCACAGAGATCAGTTCCATACTTCAGCCCAACCTTGGGGACCCAGCCCTTGCTGCGGAAGTAATGATACGCCATGTAAGTAGTTTTAAAACTAGGCTTCACTTCGCTGAAAATTTCCCATAGCTTCAAAATAGTTAAGGGCTCCTAAAAGTCACAGATGAAGGCATTAACATGATTACATTCGTATTACAGCACATGCAGAATACTGTGTGTAGCACAGAGTAAAAGCAAAACGTCAGACATCACAGTCCCAACATGATGAAAATGAACTTCAGAGAACAGAATGCAAAAACCCTAAACGTAGGAGAAAATGGTAGCTTCTATTTGTTTTTTTTTTTTAATCATTTCACAATCAGTCCCATAAGTTTCTTGTATAAAAAGAACTCTGATAAATAGAACCATAGGAAGATAAAAGAGCAATCTTTATATATGATTATGCAAATATATAAGTATTATCATATTCTTCCTAAGCTGCCCTCCCCCACATTCATTACCTAAGCTGCAACAAACAACCTTCCTCTACAGGAAGATCCTGCTTGCCTATATTTTGGCAGCTGTATTTGCCATGATAAACAAAACTTTCAGACTAATATGTTATAAGCAGAAATACTACTACTTGTTAGAAAAAACTTCCCAATTATTCTGCTTGGTATTCCCTCCTTTGGGATTAAGAGCATACAATGCTGGTAATATTTGGCAAAAAATTCATATCAAAACAGACCCAAATGAATGGTATCCCCATCAATCCAATCTCTTACCTCACCATAATAAACAGTTAAGCATCCCAGAGCATACACCAAGAAAAAAGCCTGAAAAACCAAAAAGAATACTTTTAACTGATATCTACACTCTTCTAGGAGGTCATATTCCAGGCAAGAACAAAAGCTCACATTCATTTTATACAGAAATCAAGACAGACAAGTTGCTTGTGAGGTTCTTCTGAAATTTCTATTTATGACCTTCACATTCCAATAGATAGAGTACCACAAAAATCACGCACGTGCTGTTGACTCCTGAAGGCACTGCATCAAAGCTG